TGTTGTGCCATCTTCAGTTAGAGTAGTTAATACAGGTTTATTGTTCTTCATTATTCAGAAAACTGAATGCTTTGAAGGGTAGAGAAGATATTGGAGAACAAGAGTTTGGGGTCGGTACGATTTTTTAAAATAAATAAATAAAAGTAATCATTGTGAAATATTATTATAGGTTAAACTTTAAAATAACCGTTGAATATGTTTTAAAATGTCATTTATTCTTGTGACATCAAAGCTGATTTTTTTTTTCTGAGTCACATGATCCTTCAGAGAAATCATTCTAATATGTTGATTTGGTGTTCAATTCTAATAATCGTCATGTTGAAAACAGATTAACATTGTGGAAACAATAAGTCATTATGTTTTCAGTATACCAGTAATTTGTTAAATAGAGAGTTCAAAATAACAAGGTTTGTTTGAAATAGAAATCTTTTGTAACGTTTTACATGTTTTTATTGACACTTTGGATTAATTTAGGCAATCCTTGCTGAATAAAAGTATTAATCACTTAAAAATGAAATCTTACTGATCCCAACCTTTTGAACAGTAGTGCCTAATAGTGTTTTTCATATACATTTTAACATATTTTACCACTTACAGTAGCTTGTATCCTATAAGCCGTACTATCCACACCTAGCATCACACACATTATATGTGTACTTTTGTCTGGTGCAGATATGTGCAAATGCAAGTTTCTTATTAGTTAACACACATTTTTATGTTATTATAATACAAAATGGCTATTATAGTTGTTGAGGGCCAATTAATGTACAGCTCACCCAATTAAACACATGAATTGATAAAATCATATCACACTGGTATCATTTAATCTTCACTTTTAGACGCATGTCTCAGTTTCTCTTCAGTGCTGATCTTCTGCAGGTCATTGTAGAGAGGCAGCGGTTGCAGTCAATAGTTCTTGATGGCTCAGAGGCTGTTCAGTTGGGTTAAAGAGACACTCATTGTTCTAAATATATCGTTTAAGTAGTCACTTCACTTCCATCTTGTTCTGAGTCATGATACACTAAAAGATGAGTTGCTTTATGTGAGTACTCTTCGTTAAACTAAAATCATTCATTGATCTATCTAAATGGAATTTATCTATTCAGTGTTTTGCTGAGAACATAATCATGATCATAATTTGATATGTTGATTCATCTGCAAAATGGTTATAGAATGGTTTTGTCTTTGCCATAAAACATTACATTTAAAGGAGTAGTTCACTTTAAAAAAAAAAAAAAAACTTTTGCTGATAATTTACTCACCCCCATATCATCAAAATGTCCTTGTCCTTCTTTTTTCAGTCAAAAAGAAATTAAGGTTTTTGATGAAAACATTCCAGGATTTTTCTATAATGCACTTTACTGGGCACCAAACGGTTCAAGGTCCAAAAGACAGTTTCAGTGCAAACGATTCCAGACGATGAATAAGGGTCTTATCAAGTGAAACGATCGCTCATTTAAAAAATAAATAACAAAGTTTAGATTAAGCTCAAATAGTCGCCTTGCTCCGTTCTGTGTGACTCTCCTGTTCGAACTCGTTCATCAAAATGAATCGAAAAAGGATTTGTTCATTTTGATGAACGAGTTCGAACAGGAGAGTCACGAACGTGCATTACAGAACAGAGCAAGGCGAGCATTTGAGCTTATAAAACTTAAACGTTATTTTTTTTTTTTTAAATGGCCAATCGTTTCGCTTGATAAGACCCTTATTCATTTGTCTGGAATTGTTTAAAGCCCTTTGAACAGTTTGCAGTTTGAACTTTTTTGGTTACTAGTAAATTGCATTATTTGGAGAAAAATCCTGGAATGTTTTCATCAAAAACTTTAATTTCTTTTCGACTGAAGAATGAATGACATGGACATTTTGGATGACATGGGGGTGAGTAAATTATCAGCAAAAGTTTTTTTTAAACGTGAACTACTCTTTTAAGATTTTAACTGGTCATGTAAAAAGGTCTGTTTATGCTGTACCAATGATATTTATTTTAGAGATATGTGGCTTTTTAATTATCTGATTTCTGTATTCTTCACTAGTTTAATTATTCATATTTTTACTTTTACTTTTCCTATAAACAGAGAGAACTGCTCTCTAAATAATAAATCATTTTGAATTCATTTTTGGATTACAGTGAACTTTATTTGAAGGAGTTTCACCGCACTCACGGTAAACAAGGTGCCAGACAGATACAACTTGACAACTCAAAAAATAATTCAACTGTCCGCACACTTGATTCCTTTAAGCAAATTTAATAGCCAAGCTTTCGGTCACAAAACCATCCTCAGGGCATGTTTTTTGGATTACAGTGAACTGAAAGAGAATTAATGATAATAATTGTGCAGTCAGAGTATGTAATTAAAATATATTAACACAGAGCTACTCATATTAACCTTTTCTCAAAATGTCCCATTTGAGTGTATGTTTTCTTAATAGCAATCAGATTTGGTTAGAAAATAGTCAGAGCATGTCTGACGCCCTTAAATAAATTTCACTTTACAAATGCAAATTCAGTTCCGTCCACATTTTCTGAGAAGCTCAATAAATGCTAATGCACTCTGGTGTATGCCGTCATCATTAAGAATACTCATACTAGTGCTGTAGTATTGAGGTTTGTAATGGCCTGTTAGGGCACTTGATGCTTTATTTATTCTTGTCTGCTGACTGAAACTGCTGCCATTAATGCAGCGATTGCTGCACCACCATAATAATGTGAACCTGAGACAACTCTTCTCTCTGAATTGTGAATTGGGTCTAATTGTCTAATGTTTTTTTCAGTACTGTCACACTGGCAATGGGGAGAGACAGATATTATAATAAAACTGAGTTGTGAAGTAAATAGCGATGTGTATATATTTTACTTAAAGGGATAGTACACCCGGAAAGGATGTCATCATTTACTCTGCCTCATGTCATCCAAATCTGTATGAAAACGTGTATATGAAGAGTTCAGATGCAAAAGCCTCTAAATAATGCCATTTGAAATTTTCTTCTTTAAGGATGATTTTTTTATCAAACTTGTATATTTAAGTTCAGTAATTTCACTTAAATAACAATTAATAGGTAATTATCATTGCAATTTAAGTGAAATCACTGAACTTAAATATACAAGCTTGATAAAAATGATCTTTCTAGAAGAAAATTTCAAATGGCACTTAGAGGCTTTTGCATCTGAACTCTTCATATTCATATACAGTGGGGCTAAAAAGTATTTAGTCAGCCACTGATTGTGCAAGTTCTTCTACTTAGAATAATTAGAGAGGTCTGTTATTTTCATGATAGGTACACTTCAACTATGAGAGACAATATGACAATATATATATATATATATATATATATATATACATATATATTAGGGATGCACCGATATGAAAATTTTGACCGATACCGATAACCGATAATTCTTTATATTTGAAAGCCGATAACCGATATATCGCCCGATAAACTTAAATTCTATTTTCTTTAAATTCTAAATTCTCTTAAATTTTGAGAGCCTGATTACAAAAACAAAAGTCTCACAATTAAATCCACGTCCCAAGGCAAGTGCACAATTATAATGATGTTCTCATTATCGTGTTGTATAGCCGATATGACAGATTTGCGTTGCACATGTTGTCTCGAAAAAGATTTTCATTTTTCAAGAAATTCAAAAACATAAACAGTTCCCAACAAGTGTCTCAGCTGAAGGGAATAATACATTATTTATCGGTTTTAATATATCGGCCACATTTTCTTACCAGGCCGATAACGATAACAATAAAAATGAACATATATCGGCCGATACCGATATGCTGGCCGATATATCGTGCATCCCTATGTATATCTATATACCCTATATATATATCTTTTGGCGAGTAAATGATGACAGGATTTTCGTGGACTATACCTTAATATCTATAGTGCACTTTGTGTAAGAGCTCTGATATGTTTAATATTAAAGTAATGTCTGTGATATAAAGAAAAGTAAATTAATTACATTCAGTTTGTGTTTTTATAACCTATTAGCCTCATTAAATAAATAGTTTGTCAGTGGCAATTTTAGAGACCTACTATGCCATAATGCAGAAAATGATTGTACTTTTGATTTGATCAACACATAAATATTTTAAATGCTAATGTCAGATCTTCACCTTCAGAGAACAAAGCAGACAGAATTGCGCTGATGTTACACTCAAGGTTACATTTGCTGAGTTTTTTCAATTGGGGTGTTTTTACTGTTTCCCTGGTGGGTGGCATAACAGGCTTTTCCATAACCGCCAACGTTGCATAAATGTGACAAACATGGCCTTGTTTTTATACTCCATCTTATAAAAGCGAAGCTATCAGAATCAAAATAGTTTTTGCTTCCTGTGTCAAATACTTTCCCAAACAGTTCAAATCGTTTCACTAATTTTATTATGCGCTGAAACTCTTCAATTATATTTCGAATGTCATGCTACAAGTGAAAGAATTTGCTGTGTTGCATCTGAGATTTGTTGCTCTGAGATCTGAGATTTGATGCTCTTCCCAGAGAGCATAGAACATCACTAACAGCAAAAAGAGAATTAGGAATAAGTAGAGAGAGAGAGAGAGAGAGGGAGAGAGGCGGTAGTGTTATATACACCCACACCTTTGCTATTGCTGGATTCTGGTATCTGTACCACAGCTTCTGGAGTGGGAGTTTCAGATGAAGACAGTACACAGAGAATCTGCATACATGTTGGAATTCGATGAAAAATCTGGATGTCCTTCATTACTCGGCTTACTTTGAGTTTTTTTTTGTCTCTGTCACCCTTTCCTGTTCTCCATCCATCACTATTGAATATACTCATGGATTTTAAACAAGTGAAAACTGAATGACTGCTTCTTGAAGCTTCTTCACTTTGGTTTGTGATAGAAATCATTGGATGGGAAAACTGACTGGCTGAATTGAACTAGCAACCTTTAAAGAGTCTGAACGATAATGGCTCCTCGTAGCTGATTTACATTTTTTTTCTCTGTTGCCTTCCTGTGACCATGTTTGCCAGGATCTTTATTCCCAAGAAGCATCGGCAGCGCTTTGATGAAGCCGTCTCTCAGAGTCTCATCAACCGCGTGTGTCGTAGCAAGAGCCTTGGCGAGCCCCAAAACAGGCTCCGCCGGAGCCGAAGTCAAGACCACCCGGAGCGTCCTCAAGGCTCGAAACGGGCCAGTTCTGTGCCCAGAGATACCCCAGATGACCCGGCTCAATCCGACCGTAGCCTTAGGAAGAGCACCACCATGGTTCCCAGCCACTATGTCACTGGAGCCAACCAGAGGTATGTAATGTGGTAGCTTTTCGATGTTCCTTTCGTGTTTCAATGTTTCTATTTCCATGTCCTATTATTTTACGAATTAAAAAATTAGATAGATTAGATTTCATCTTCCATGCTGTTTTGAAAAGACAATTTTGTCCCAAAACACTGCAGGAAGTCTCCTCAAACGCAGAGAACACTGTGTAATATGTGGGAGACTTTGTGTGTGGGTGGGTGAGAGAAGCACTATTGAGTTGTTTGTCTCTGCATGCTTTCACACACACATGGACAGACTGTCCACATCACAAGCACTTTTTCATATGATGATCTACTGCTTCAGTGTTTTTATAATGCAGGATATATAATCAGCTTATCAGATTATTTTGATCATTACAATCGTGACTTAAATTAAATTGAAAATTGCCTTAATATCACTTTCAAGCCATGAAACTGCTTATTTGAAAGCAGATCCTCTTGTTGTTTGGTTTTTCCTCTTGTACATTTGCTTGTAATTGACATTTACAGTATATGATGTCATCGGTATTCTTTATTTGATAGTTTAAAATGCTGTCTTAAGTATTACTAGGGACGTATCAAGCAGAGTGTTTAGATTATTAAATACTACAGCAAAAGTAGATCTGATGTCCTGATATACCCTGTAGACTAGGCTATATTCCTCACCTGCTCTTCAATAAATAATGCTTCATTGGCTCAGTCCTTATGTAACCCCCATGGAGAGTTTTCTATTTTCTAAACGTGTCTTTGTGTGTCTGTCATTTCCCCCCTTTCTAATCCGCTATCAGTGTTTGGTTCTAGCTGCCCACCTTGTGTAAAATGGCACTGCGTCAAGAAGCAAATGTTTCTATTGCTTTCCTTTATCTCTGATTAGTCTATGGTTCCAGTGTCGCCTTGAGGTGTTGCCACAGCAACTGCTAAGGCTAGCTTTACTGAATGGTATGTCAAAGGTTTTCTTTAAGAAGCAGGGAAATCACTTCTTACAGTATATGGCCATTTAAGTGGTGCTTCGGTATACTTGTTTAATATAAGTAATTATCATTCGAATAAGTTGCTGTGAATCTGTGTTTGGATCTTTGGCCTCTGAAATATGTTGGTCATGTACTGTAGACAAACTAGGATCAGTTTTCATTAATGGAGCTGGTTTCATAATAATAATAATAATTCATTACATTTATATAGCGCCTTTCTGGACACTCAAAGAGCTTCACATTGCGGGGGGAATCTCCTCAACCACCACCAATTTGCAGCATCCACCTGGATGATGCGACGACAGCCATATTGCACCAGAACGGCCACCACACACCAGATTACTGGTTGAGAGGATAAGTCTTCTAAGATATAAAAATAGTTTTTGAGTTAAAGCTACATCTAGGGACTTGACTAGTAACAAAAAAACAGCAATTTATAACAACCATACTAGAAATAAAGGCAGCATTATAGGTCAGAAGTCAGATTGTATTGGAACGTTCAGAATAATATCCAGTACTATCTGGTTGAAGATTGGAGTCATTACGCCGGATGGAGACAAGTTTGTTGAGGATCAGTGTCACTGGCTGTCGTGTCGTGTCGATGAGGCCTTTATTTGGGAGAGTCTAGTTGACATAGTCTTTGCTGACACTTCACGGATGTGGTCGTCTCCTGGCGCAGGTCAACCATCTGATCTGGATACGGCCCAGATCCGGCCGACTACAGTAAACCTCGGAATAAATATTAGTGTAGTTCATGGGAAGTGTTCCCGGTTCCGGCTGACCTATGCAGCCCAACAATCATTTAACTGATTTGAATTATAGACATTTATAATGTTCTATGTGTGTGCTAAGCTAAAAAGATGTGTTTTTAAGGGTAACACTTTAGAATACTGTATCTTACTTACTGCATAACTAATGAGGAATTAATGAAGGACTAATAGGTAATTCTTTATTAACACTTAAGTCACTACTGTTAACTACTAAGGAAGATGTGTTAACTAATCAGTATGTAATATAATTTTATGATTGTGTTAAGTATCAGTTAGTTAATCAATAGCTAATGAATTCTGTCATACCTCCCGAAGAACTACTGTACTATTAATTATCTATTAATTAAGGTTCAAGAAAAATAACTATGAAGTAACTACTAATTAACAGTCATACACAGTATTCAGTTTGTCATTCTTCAGCACTAATAAGAAAAATAAGTGCAGACATTTACCTTAGGCTATGATCTGCAAATAAGCAAAAACATCTCATGTAGGCCTATATAACACCTTATTATTATACTTAGTTCTTGTACATTTTAAACTTCTTTTGCACCATTCAAGTTCCGGCAATATGGCGGTAGCCACATACACTGAGCCTGTGTTCTCCCAAGGATTTTTTCTCCATTCTGTCACCTGATGGAGTTTTGGTTCCTTGCCACTGTTGCCTTTTTCACTTCTCTTCGCCTTTGTCGCAAGTAACTGTCGTGTATTTTACAAAGGTTTAGATGATTACGTTAATATATATAGGCTAATATTTTTTTATTTACAGTAAGTTTGATTTGAGTCAGAAGTATGCGGTAATTCTTTATTAATTACTAATGGGTTCCCTAAATTGTCACTTTAGAATACTGTTTCAGGTTCTAAGTAATTCCTGAAGGACTATCTAATAATTATTTATTAATTACTAATAAGTTCCTTATATTTTTACTTTAGAAGACTGTTTCAGGTTATAAGTAGCCTAATTCCTAGATAATTAATTTGATAATTATTTATTAATTACTAATGGGTTCCCTGTATTGTCACTTTAGAATACTGTTCCAGGTTCTAAGTAATTCCTGAAGAACTATTTAAAAGTTATTTATTAATTACTAATAAGTTCCTTATATTTTCACTTTAGAAGACTGTTTCAGATTATAAGTAGCCTAATTTCTAGATAATTATTTGATAATTCTTTATTAATTACTAATGGGTTCCCTATATTTTCACTTTAGAATACTGTTCCAGCTTCTAAGTAATTCCTGCAGAATTATTTGATACTTATTTATTAATTACTAATAAGTTCTCTATATTTTCAGTTTCCCTCAGTCGTTGCCTCAAATACATGAATTTACTCAGTGGCATTCTATGCTGAGGAAAACAAAAATATACAAATAATCTGAGGTTAGTTTTGTATGACTGTTCAGTAGTTACTTCTTAGTTATTTTTCTTGAACCTTAATTAGTAGATAATTAGTAGTAGTTCTTCAGGAGGTATGACAGAATTCATTAGTTATTGATTAACTAACTGATACTTAACACAATCATAAAATTATATTACATACTGATTAGTTAACACATCTTCCTTAGTAGTTAACAGTAGTGAAGAAGTAGTTAATGAAGAATTACCTATTAGTTCGTCAATAATTCCTTATTAATTCTGCAGTAAGTAAGATACAGTGTTCTAAAGTGTTACCTTTTTAAGTCAAGTCAAATCACATTTATTTATATAGCGCTTTTTACAATACAGATTGTTTCAAAGCAGCTTTACAGAGATAACAGGAAAATAATACAACAAAGTTTGTTTACAGAAGAAAATACCGTTACAGTCCAGCTTCAGTTTCATTTTGTTGTAAAAAAGGACATTTCGTTAATTTATATACACTCTCTAGAGAAAACCGTGATGTCATCATCCAGCTCAGTTCAGTTCTCATATAATGGTGTCAATGCAGGCGGATCAATAATAATGTTAAATATTAAATTAAATGTTAAATTTAATGTCCCCAACTAAGCATGCCAAAAGCCAATGGCAACAAAGGTCAAAAAAGGCCACAGTGGCAAGGAACCAAACCTCCATCAGGTGGCAGAATGGAGAAAAACTTAGGAGAAACCAGGCTCAGTCTGGGTATGATTATGATTCAGGCAGCATTATAGGTCAGAACTTCGTCAGATTGGATTGGAAAAATCGGAATATTATCCAGTTCCATCTGGTGGAAGTTCAGACTCATTAAGCCGGTATGGAGACGGGTTGTTGTGGATCAGTGCTGATGGCTGTCGTGTCGATGAGGCTTTCACAGGGGAGAGTCTTGTTGACACAATCTCTTTTGCCAAAGGGATGCGTTGTGGTCGTGTCTAGGCGCAGGTACTCCATCTGATCTGGATACGGCCCGAATACGGCTGACTACATAATGCATTGTAGTTGTGTCTAGGCGCAGGTCCACCATCTGATCTGGATACGCCCGGATCCAACTGATTACAGTAAACCTCTGAATAAGCAGAAAGACTTACATTAGTGTAGATGCCATTCATCTTATGATGTAAAAAGTACATCAGGTGTTATATGAAGTGTTCCCGCTTCCGGTTCCTTAATTTATGCAGCCTAATAGATTTTATAGCCTATTTTTAGTCTAGATTTAAACTTAAAGATTGTGTCTGCTTCTCGAAGTTTAGGTGCTAAATAGGAAAAGGATCTACCGCAAGTATTATCCACTGGCCAGAATTTTGAGATCGCAATAGACATGTAGGACTATAATGCGTTAAGAGCTCGCTCAAGTACTGGGGAGCTAAACCATTTAGTGCTTTGTAAGTAATTAGCAATATTTAAAAATGTATACATTGTTTAATAGGCAGTCAATGCAGTGTTTACAGAACCGGGCTAATATGGTCATACTTCCTGGTTCTAGTAAGAACTGCTTTTTGGACCAGCTGGAGTTTGTTTATTATGCGTGCAGGGCAACCACCCAGTAGAGCATTACAATAATCTAGCCTTGAAGTCATGAACGCCTTAACTAACTGTTGCGCATTTTTCATTGAAAGCATGTCATTATTTAGATATATTTTTGAGATGGAAGAATGTGGTATTACAGATACTAGAAATGTGGCTTTCAAAAGAAACATTGGAATCATGGCGGTTTTTCACTGCTAGTACAGCTCGGCGCAGCACGGTTCGGCTCGCTTTGCTTTTCCACTGCGTGGTATGACTGGCACGGCATGGCTCAGTTCGCTTTAGCTCGGTTTGCTTTTCCAGTTTAAGTGGGTGGGATTATAGTCTGACTGTTATAGTTTACAACCAACGAGAGAAACGCCTGCACTTCGTCCACTGACCACGATTCAGCCATTTCTTTTTTTGGAAGTTTTCTTTCTTTCTTTTTTCTTCAAGCAAGTAGTTTCAAAACAGGTGTTACAGCGGTGGCTGTTGCTGGCTATTTAAATCTAGCGGGTTTGTTGTCTTGCAAATACAATGACGCTGGTAGTGACGATTCTGTCTGACCAATCAGTGATCTGCAGTGTGTCGACTTCACATTTTAGTATCGGTACGGTACGCTTTGAACCTCAACAGAGGTGGTACTATTTAAAGCGAGCCGTACCGTACCGTACCATGCAATGGGAAAGCACCACAAGTGAGCTGTACCGAACCGTGCCGATCCTCTCTTCGGCAACCAAACAAAGGAAGTCCGCACCTCCTCGTTTGACCAAGGCGTATTCTTCCGAGTTGCGATAATAATAGTAGTAAGTTTAGTAACTATCTCTGGCCAAACTATTTAAAAATATTCTGGATACTCCATCTGGCGTGTGCAACGATGACGCAGTGAATGGTGATGATTCTCTCTGACCAATCAGCAGTCGGCATTGTTTTCATGTCCCAATTTAGTATCGGCTCAGCTCGCCTTAGCTCGCTCAGAACCTCGCTGGAGGTGATACAAAAAAAGTAACCGAAAGCAGGTACAGGTACAACTTTTACACAGTGGAAAACCAAACAAAGCCGAGCCGAGTCAAGTCGGGTTGGTACTGTGTAGTGGAAAAGCACCATTATATTTCTTTAGAACAACACCACGGAAACTGCTTTTTTGACTTAAAAGTGCAATGTGTAAAAATTTTGAGTATCTATTAACAGAAATGCAATATGACATCCAGAATTATATTTTCAGTGCTGTATAAAGAACTTACTTAAAGGGTTAGTTCACCCAAAAATGAAAATTAAGTCATTAATTACTCACCCCCATGCTGTACCAACCCCGTAAGACCTTCGTTCGTCTTCGGAACACAAATGAAGATATTTTTGATTAAATTTGAGAGCTGTCTCACTACCACATTGGCTGCCTAAGGGACTGCCTCTTGACGGCCCAGAAAGTCAATGAAGAAAATGTTTAAATATCCCAAGTGACTACCGTGGCTCAACTATATGTTTATCAAGCGACGCGAATACTTTTTGTGCGAAAAAACAAACAAAAATAACGAGTTTATTCGACTATTTCTTTTCTTCCTTGTAGGCCAGAACGAGACTTCCTTAGATTTCCACGACGCATGCGCGAGAATTGCGATCTGAAGTAGTGTAAGCTGGTGTAAGCAGATCGCAAATCTCGCGCATGCGTCGTGGAAATCTAAGGAAGTCTCGTTCTGGCCTACAAGGAAGAAAAGAAATAGTCGAATAAACTCGTTATTTTTGCTTGTTTTTTCGCACAAAAAGTATTTGCGTCGCTTGATAAACATATAGTTGAGCCACGGTAGTCACTTGGGATATTTAAACATTTTCTTCATTGACTTTCTGGGCCGTCAAGAGGCAGTCCTTTAGGAGCCAATGTGGTAGTTATACAGCTCTCAAATTTAATCAAAAATATCTTCATTTGTGTTCCGAAGACGAACGAAGGTCTTACGGGGTTGGTACAGCATGGGGGTGAGTAATTAATGACTTAATTTTCATTTTTGGGTGAACTAACCCTTTAATAAACCGTAATATTTGTATTACCTTAGAATGAGACATTTATATCTACATAACCGCAGACGCCCCCTTCCATGAAGCTCGACATATGACATATTGTGACGTCATGTTTCTACCGTAGCCGAACGCAAACAAACAACGCTACAGAGAGCGTTTCGTCACTACCTTGAAAGAGAAGCAGCAGAAACCTAGAAGCTAGCCATAGTGAGTAGTGACTTTTCCCTTGTCAATGATATGTAGTTGGACTGTTTCATGTACCTTAGTTCTTCTCCCTTGCTGTGTAATGGGTTTGCAATGTGGGGATAAATGTGCTGGTTATGTTCGTGAGACAGCTGATTAGTACTCTTGTCATTGATCGTAAAACAGTAACGTTACAAGAGTCACCAACCTGTCGATCGCGGTCGACAAGTCGATCTCTGCAGCATTTTAAGTCGATCGCCAAGAGTTTTCAAAATCAAAGAAAAAAAGCCTAGTGTGTGTAGTAAATGGTGTCTAGGGGATGCTGAGGCACGCACGCTTTTACAAACGCTTTTTGCCGCGCTCACCTTTGGGCTTAGGCGGACATGTCAAGTTTTAAACTCGGCTTTATGCTTTAACCTGCTCAGCCACAGTAACTGCTCATATTAGCCAGCTAAACTTTTACTACCCTGTTAGAAAAAAATATATAGTTGCATAGTTTCATGTGGTTCTTCGCCCTCACTGTATTATGGATTTGCTATGTGGGGAGAAATGTGCTGGTTATGTTTCTGAGACACCCAGAACACCTTAGCATGTGTGAAAAACCCACTCACAGCACCTTAGCAAGTACATAGCAACCACACACTACACCCTAACAATATGGCAGTTTTGCACAGACATGTTCTTTAAAAAGTGTAAGAATCTAATGGTGTGTTCTATTATACCCAACGAACCGACTCGGACCTCGGATTTGACGTCACGTCCACGTTTCAAGCGTTCTATTATGTTTTGCTTGTCCGAGTCGGAGAAAGCTGTTGTAATGGCCGAGTACCAGGCACTTACATTAAAATAAACATATTATGACTACACCTCATCAAAACGCAGCCATTTGAACTTGAAAATGTTCACTTTATTTAAAGTTTTTCATGTTAATCTTCTGTTAGCAACGCTAGCAACGTTAGTAATTGCACTCACAACAACCGATTCCCATACCTACAGGGGACGCAGTAATACGAGTGATTATAATCGTCATTTAAAATACCAAATCGGTTTAAAAACAATGAATACAATTCATTCTTACAAGTCACAGGGCGCAGCCATTTTGAATTCCGAAACGGTTGTCCGACGTCCGAGAGGAGAAATCCGAGGAAAGGGGGCGTGTTGCTAGGCAACGTCTGTTGTCCGTTTCGGATCTCCGAGACGGATGAATAATAGAACGCACCATAAGTATTGTATATTACCACACCTCCAGTCAGTCAGTATAGTCAGTAATCCCTCTTTTACTTCCTCTGCAGAACAATCCGTGTGTACCGGGGTAAGAAGAGTTTTGGCTTTACTCTGAGAGGTCATGCTCCTGTGTGGATCGACTCCGTAATGGCAGGTGCGTATGAAAATGTGATGCAGAATTATACATACGTTACGTTAGAAATGAATTTTTACCGTCATATTTTTGCCACCAGCCACCGAAATTTGTGGCATGTTGAGGGTCATATCGCTGTAGACTAGAGACGGCTGTAATAAAAAGGCACATGGAAAGCACAGCTGTGGTCTGAGGCTTGTTTTCAAGGGGGATGTAGTGTTTTTTGTTTGTTTGTTTTTTTGGTGCATTGAGAAAAAGGAAGGAGTGGGCTGTTGTACTAATAAACAAGCTTTGGGTACATTTGTACTGAAGTCTGCACAATTGGACGTTGCGAGTGGAGAGAGGGCGGTAAGTGTGTGAGGGGTCTGTATGACGATATTCGCCCACTACAGGCCTATGCTGAGGCTAGTTAACACTGACTCAGCCACCCTGCTTATGAAAACAAGTAGGAGTCCAGCATCGTGATGAGAAAACAGATTGCAAACCCTCTTAGACCCTTTGACGGAGTATCTTGTAGTGTTTTAATTACAAACAATCACAAATGGCAGCAGTATTACACATCCGTAAGATTCACTATTTGTGGGGGTGTTTATTATTTACTGTATGTATGTGAGGTTTTATTCTCTGTCACAAATCCGTTTTCCCATTACAGGTAGTCCAGCTGAGGCGTGTGGCCTTAAACCGGGAGACCGCATATTGTTCCTCAATGGCTTAGACATGAGGTGTGTTTATTTTTCTCATGTTTTGAGGATGCTTTAAAAGTTGCATGGCAATGAAGTGTTATTACAGTAAATCTACAATTACTGTTCATTGTTTCATATCATTTGAGTGGTAGATATTATTTCCTATTATGTTATTAGCTTTGCCATCAAGCTTAATATACTTAAGAATTTAAGAAATTAAATGGCCTCAAAGTAGTTAAGTGATTTCACAGAAACATAATCAAGTTAACCTAATGTGTAGCAATTTCACAAAACCCAACCATTTTTTTTAATTTATACTACTGTTCAAAAGTTTAGGGTCAGTAAGGTTTTTAACACAATTAATACTTTTATTCAGGAAGGATGCATTAAATTAATCAAAAGTGAATGTAAAGACATATTTATTTAGTTACAAAATATTTATTTTTCAAATAAATGTTTATTTGAACTTCCTATTCGTCAAAGAAATTCAGAAAATAATGCATATTGGTTTCCACAAAAAATTTTAAGCAGCACAACTGTTTTTTAACACTGATAATAATAAGAAATACAACAAATCAGAATATTAGAATAATTCCTGTATCAATGTGACACTGAAGACTGACGTAATGGCTGCTGAAAATTCAGCTTTGATCAAAGGAATAAATTACATTTTAAAATAGATTAAAATAATGATATTAATATATATATATATATGAAAGCAGAGGGGGGCACACCTGGGACGCCAGGTGCTGCCGATGAGCCCTCTGGAGGTGTCGTGGGCCTATCATTGAAACGCCAGAGAAGGGGGGTGCCCACCTGATGACCCCAATGAAGCTTGAAACCCCCATTCTTATCCCACTAAACCAAATCGAGGAAATCACTCTGATGGATGCATCGTCACCACTCATACCTCAGGTCTTAAACAGGGGATTGTTTCACCTAGTCCTAAAACAGAACTTAAATGAGCCTTGGTGAGTAAACATAAGTAAACATAAAAAAATAGTTGTAAATATTAAAAGTAGATGTAACTCAAATGTGCTATTTAAATAGTGTTTTAATTAAATCAGTTCAATTGATTAAAACACAAGTTAAACATCATTGGGGCAGGGGGTTTCCATCTCCCAACATGCTTTGTGTGTGGCTGGATGAGAATCTTTTTTATTTATTAAATAATATTTATTTTTCATATGTTCATTTGTTGGGAAAGACAAGTAAAACATACACCTTTTAGTACTTGTGATTGTTATATGAGGATTTGAAGGGAGGTATTTTGAGGGTTAACAATGTTGTTTTGAGTAAAGCTGTTAGTTAGGTCAGATACATGCTATTATTAAATTCACTGTATTCATAATTTCATAGTATACATTTGTATTATGCATTCTGCCCCTTAACAAACCTTTGATTTAGGCTTAAATGTAAATGTGTAAATCTGTGGCCATGATTTAGCTGCTTCTTGGCTGTGTAGTTAATCTCAAGAGCACACCAATTTACCCGACTACTGTAGATGCTCAAGTTCATGCTGCTAATTATGTAAAGTTGCAAGTTAATTATATAATTAAAAATAGAATTTAAGTTTGATTTGAACAAAACTTTCTCAGCTTTGTCTTGTCCACTAGACTATTGAAGAACATATAGCTGGATCATCAATGCTTATATAGTTAATTCAGTGTTTATTCAATTTACACATGAATTCAATGCACATTTAGGAACTGCTCCCATGAGAAGGTGGTGTCCATGCTGCAGGGCAGTGGTGCCATGCCCTCTCTAGTGGTGGAAGAGGGCCCCGTAGACTATCCGCTGTCAGATTCGGAGCCGGAAGAGACCCCCACCATCCAGCGCTCGCGTTCCCCGGCCCTCAGCTCCCTGCAGTGGGTGGCCGAGATCCTTCCTCCCAGCATCCGCGTGCACGGCCGTACCTTCAGCCAGCAACTCGAACACCTCCTCACCCTACAAGAAAGATACACCATTTGCAAAGCTCTGGAGACGTTCTTCCAGCACAGGTCAGGTCAAAATTCATAATGACTTGAGTGGGAGAAGACACATGACTTCTGTTATATTAGTTGAGGTTGGCAGCACTGAGATTAAAAACTGTCTTGTCGAAGTTGTTTTAGTAGCAACTTTGACCCTAACAACAGTAATTTCAATACAGGTCAAAAGTTTGGAATAAATACGATTTTTTTTATGTTGTTGGTGGAAGTTTCTTATGCTCACCTAAGCTGCATTTATTTGATAAAGATACAGTAATATTGTGAAATGTAATTACAATTTAAAAGAACTGTTTTCTGTTGTAATTTGTATTTTAAAATGTAATTTATTTCTGTGCATTTTCAGCATCATTACTCCCGTCTTCAGTGTCACATAGTTTGTGCTCATGAAACATTTCTTATTATCAATGTTGAAAACAGTTTTTTTCTGCTAAATACTTTTTGTGTAAACTGTAATACAATACCATTCAAAAGTTTGGGGTAAGTAAAATTAAAAAAGAATACTAAGAATTAATAGTTTTATTCAGCAGGGATGCCTTAAATGCATCAAACATGACAGTAAAGACAACTTAGAAATATTTTGGTAAATATAAATGGTGCTCTTTTGAATACCGAAAAAAAAAAGATTTCCACAAAAATGTTATACAGCTAAAACCTTTTTCAATATTGATAATAATTTGAACCAATATTAATAATTAAGCAGCAAATCAGCATATTAGTATGATTTCTGAAGGATCATGTGACAGTATAGACTGTAATGGCTGCTGAAAATTCAGCTTTGCCATCGCAGGAATAAATTACATTTTAAAATATACTAAAATAGAAAATAATTTTAAATTGTAATAATATTTCACAAATTACTGTTTTTTTACAGTATTTTTAATCAAATAAATGCAGCCTTGGTGAGCAGAAGAGACTTCTTTCAAAAACATCAAAGAATCATAATGATGATGATTATCGTTTATCGTGAATTAATGCTCATTTGTTTTCGTAAAATAAAATTCAGACTGCATTTCTAGGCTCTAAACTTCATCCTTATCTTCAGATGAAGTTTAGAGCCTAGAAATGCAGTCTGAATTTTATTTTACGAAAACAAATGAGCATTAATTCAAATTTAACGATAATCCAAACAGAAGAAGTGCAATGTAACAGCATGTATCACCCAAACAACAGCAAACAATGAGGAACTGAAACATTATATACATTAAATTAAACAATTAAACTACCGAGGAGCAGGTTTGCTCTAATCAGTCAAACAATGAATTTCCATGACAACCAGTGACAAGTGGGAACATGGGAAGACAGGAAACAAAGAAATTAAAGCTGCAAGCAGCATTTAGCGGTGTTAAACAAGTTAAGCTCTTTAAGCACAAAAGTATCAAAAGACATTCAGTTTTATTTAGCAAGCATTTAACCACTGAGATCATAGATGGAAAAGACCATTTACAGCCAATACAGGCAATATAGTATACCATAGGAAACACATGGTTTTAAAGATTTTTAACAGTTATAGTGCCACCTATGGTCCGATCTTCACGAAACTTAGCAAATATGCTCATCAATTTTTGTGAAGTTCTGACTTTTCCTTTAGGATTTATTAGGTTTTGACTGTATTTTGCCACGGGCAACTTTCTAAATGACAGTGTTATAGCCAACCAAATGCAAAATTTCGGGCGAAAAAGATCGGGCGAAAGACCAGGGACTAAGTCGCAAAAGTAGGTTTTGGACTAAATTCGACATAGCGGAATTTTTTTCTTGGCTAAATCGAAATTGAAGATATACATCTTGTCCGTCTTGAGCCAAGGATCACAGTGGTGTAAAAAACCTTTTGAGTCAAACGGTCTAGGAGTTATGAGCTATTTAGTACTTTTGGTTGCTGTAGCAGCACCTATGGGCCAATCGGGCTCATACTCTGATAGGTTTTCCCCAAATTGAGGCCTACCATCTGGCTCAGTTTCAAGTCTCTAGGCCAGCACGTGAGCACGATGCATTTTAGGGCAGCAGAAGAATAATAAAAAAAAACCTTACAAATACAATAGGTTTTCAGCACTTTGTGCTTGAACACCTAACAAATAAAGTCCTTGAAAAAGAAACCAAAACACAGATAAAACGGGACATAATTATTCCATACTTAATAATTTTTTTTTAATTAGAGAAGTAATTGTATTTTATAGATATGACTTTACTTTCAGTGACCAATGCAATTGTTTGTCCCAAAATATACAATGAGAAATGTGTTAACCAATTCTAGACAACATAGCTAATTGACATTCGTAGACTGTAACCGTCTTTCCGTATGATTACAAATGTCACAGCACGCTTTTCCCACAACGAGGGATTTTCTGCATCTTGGCAGCAGCAAGGCAAATGTGAGAAGCATTCAAAAATAGCTTCAGCCTCGAGCATAAATAGATAGGCCTACTCATAATCAGAAACAATCTGTGGGTTCTTCCAAATTTAATAAATAACGCTCGCTGGTGCGACTGCTTGCTGAGAGAGCAGACCAATTATTTCTAAAATGGCTCCCTCTGTTGCATGTAAACAGGAATGTGGACACATTCATTGTAGATGTGTTCCCTGTGCTGGACACTCCTGCCAAGCAGCTGATTTGGCAGTTTATATACCAGCTGCTGACCTATGAGGAACAGGAACACTGCAAGAGCAAGATCGCCCGCTTCCTGGGCTTCAAGAGTGCAGGTAAGCCGTGAGTCCGCGGTGTGAATGTCAGCCCTCTAGTGGCTTTCTATCCTGAATGTATTGTAATTGTTCATGTGTATTACTGCAGAACCAGAGTTGGGTCCAGAAACACACAAACGAAGCAGCTCCATGCGAGTGTCAGGTACCTCCCACAAAAACAATGTGAGAGAGAGAAGCTCAGATGACTGCATTATCGGCACTCACCTTGGAATGGGTATGTCGTTTTCCACTTGTCAGTGTGCTGGTTTTTGATTGATAAGCAGGGTGCAAAATGAACCTTTTCCACACTAAATATCAAATTATATACATAAGTATCTTATGCTCACTGTATGTTAGAGCCAGACCGATATATCGGCAGAACCGATATATCGGCAGGCCGATATTATCGGCTGATATTAGGCATTTTCCAAACTATCGGTATCGGCAGTTATAATGGCCGATAAATGAATATTTCAAAAATAAAATAAAATCGGACCAATCACGCTTCAACCATGTCATGAGTGTTGGAGTTGTATAGTTTGTCCACCAGAGGGCACTCTACACCATCCCTGTTGGCAACACTCGTGTATAACGAGCCACACATCCTGCAACCTCCGGATCTAGCCAGAGTCGGGCAGAGAGAACCAGTTATGCATTATCATATTAATTTAGTTAAAACTCATAATTAACTGCAAATGTTAGGGAAATCTGTTAATATTTTGTTGCGCGTTTCTGAAATAAAAAAAAAAATAATAATATCGGCCGATATATCGGAATATCTGATTTTAAAATCAACAAATATTTGTATCAGTATCGGACTTCAAAATCCTTTATCGGTCGGGCTCTAGTTGTGACAGTAGAAACAAATTTTTTTTTTAAATGCATTCTCATATTATTTTAGTTAAAACTCATAAATAACTACAAATAACTAATGTTAGGGAAATCTGTTAATATTCTGTTGCGCATTTCTGAAAAAATAAATAAATAAAAAATATCGGCAGATATATCGGAATATCGGATTTTAAAACCAACAAATATTTGTATCGTATCGGCCTTCAAAATCCTTTATCGGTCAGGCTCTACTGTATGTGTTTATGCAAGGATGCATTTATTTGATCAAAACATACTGTGATAATAATATATTGACATGTTATTACAAAGTTTAAAATGTAATTTTTTTACTGTGATGGCAAGGCTTTAAGCAGTCATTACTCTTCAGTGTCACATGATCCTTCAGAGATCATTCTAATATGCTGATTTGGTGCTTTCTTATTATCATCAATGTTGAACACAGTTGTGATGCTTAATATTTTTGTGGAAACCATGACACGTACGTATATTAAGGATTATTTGATACTTTTGGTCAATTTAATGCATCTTTGCTGAATTAAAGCGTTAATTTCTCTCAAAAACTTCTTACCTCAACCTTTTGAATGATTTTGATTTAATTTGAATTATTTAGATTTTCCCCTTGCACACATAAGCTAGTCTCAATCCCTCTATGAAACTACATGTCACAAAAAAAATAAAAAAATAAAACTGACATTTCAGTTACTCGCCAAAATCAGTTTTAACCCTCATTTGATGATTGGTCATTTTGGATCCTGCTGATAATATGATATAACTAATATAGTTTATATAGAATACTGTATCTGCTATGCATCGCTTCATTTTAACATTTGTTCAGCAATAGCCATGCCATTCTGTCACTCTTGTGGGATAAACAAGCAGTCAGAACTCCTCTCAGTCATGTTTATGATTCATCTGCATCTATTAAGACAGCTATAAACCGCTTACAAGCGCTGTGCGCCCCTCCTCCTCCAGAGCTACTGCTAAAGCTCACTGCCCTCAGTCTCTTTTTAGCTCCTAAAGGGCACACAGCTTTCAGTGCACATGCTCTGTTTCTGGACTGGCTCTCTCTGTGTCTCAGGAACATTCACTGACCCTGTGACTCCTGAGGAAAGACAGTGTGGGGATGGGACTTCCTTCCCAGAGTCCCCAGATCTCGACCACGTGGGTACCATTTACTGCTCATCCACAATTCATTGCACGGTCATCACTGCTATTATGAAATCATGCCTAGTTTCATCTAACCACGCCCCAACCTGTAGATGTCAGGTGTGTACACGGAGCTTGGGAACGTCTATCCCGGGAAGAGCAACCAATCTCTCCAGAGTCACTCCTCACCCAGGGCTGTCGGCATGGGCCACGCTGAGAACAATACATACACTTTGTCTTTCTCGCATAATAACGCAGGTATTCTGAGCTTACTCTGACATCCACAGTTGTCACATGGTGCCTCAGATAAAGACAAGCAGCCATGATTATGATGACAGACATCATGATATTGGCTGCGTAGGACCTGTGTGGCCATTTGACACTAAATGTGCTTGCTTATGTTGATAATTTAGGATTTTAACATGGGGTTTTTCAAACTTAAAGGGTAACTAAACCCCTGGTCAGAGCCTGACTCCACCCACTGGCAATATTTGAAAAATGCTGAAAAAGTGGCCAGCGGAGATATAGGGGACGAAATAGATGCTAAATCACTCTATCCTGATCGTTTTCAATACTCGCAATTCCAACTCCTGACTCGCTACAGTGGTTTTGACGAAACAAGCTGTTTTTATACTGCCAAAGGGCATAGATCGTACCAAGAGTGTTATGAGTGTTATGTTTTTACACCATATATTGTAGAAATAAAACACTTTATACACAAATGTCAAAAAAGTTACTCGAATCAATGACTGGTATTAATAAAGATCCATTCTTACAGATCATTAACCAAAAAAAAAGTTGGTTTAGGGTTTAGTTACTCTTTAAAGTTAAAGTTTTAAAGCTTTTTTAATAAATATATTTCCTGTATAATTTCTTTAATTTTATTATTGTTTTTCTCTGCTTTATTAAGATTAGATGGTTGTTATTAACTGTAATTATATTATTTTTAGTGACAATATATTTTAACAGTGAGAAACACATTTTTTGGAATATTATAAGTTGGCAGAAAAAAAACGGATTAGGGTAAATATTTATCGTGAACATTATTATACATTTTTTATAAACATTTTTGAATTTTTGGTTGCGTCCGGAATCGCATATGAGTAGGTACTATATTTAAATAAGAACGTACTTCACAACCGTTAAAAAAGTATGACCAGGATGTACTACGTGCGCCATGTTGTTGTCGCATGACATACACTGTCACAACTTTAAAATTTAAAGAGCCCATTCCAGTGACAGCACCAACTTCGCGCTGTTTTTAGTGCTGCTTTCTCTTTTCATCTGCGTTTTTACGTCGTCCGAGCTGACAATCAAGAGGAGGTGTCGGTCAGCTGCTCAGAGATCACGCCTTTTGCTGAATTTCTCTAATAACATTTATTTACCTAATAAATTCACACACACAAAACCCCTATGAACAATGACAGATGTTGATTTTTGGCAAGGAAAAAGCCAATTATTTTCTTGTCTACTAACGTTACAGCCGGTTTCCGCCATTTTCAAATATACAGAATGTCCATCATATGCGCACTTCAGAATCTCGCAGGAAATAGTAGGTCGTCCTGGTACTTTTCGTCGACTGTTTTTCGAATTCTATGATTTCGGACATACTCGCGTACTGTTTTTCGTATACTATATAGGGAAGTATTCGATTTCAGATGCAGCTTTTCTCTTCAGAGTTATACTCTAGTTCTAGCATTAAACAATTAAAAAAAAGTAAAAAAAATAAATAAAAATAATAATACGTAAAAAAAAAAATCCAGGTAATATTGTAATGCAGTAGTTGTTTTGCCTAAGTATAATGACAATATAAAAGATGGTTACAAGTTCAAGTTCCTTACAAGTAGGGCCGTGGAATCAACAAGTTTGAAAATCCCTCATTTAATGTATGCATGTTTTAGTTCTTAGTTTTTTGTCAATTGGAAACTTTTTAGAACATTTAGTAATATCTCTCATAGCATTCCTGTGTATTATAAATGTTCATCATGATTTCGTTCATTTTGCAGGGAGCCGTAAGTCAGGCCTCTCTCTTTCATGGACTGAACCCTTTCCTGGCTCTCAGTATGATCCTTACCAGCAGACTGTCCCTTCTCCAGACAGTGTGGAGTCTAATCCTTATGTTAGTTTGGATAGTCCCCCTGTCTCCCCCCTGCCTTCTGATGAACCTAGTCCCCTGCCCCAGCGTAGGAAGCTCTTCACCTTCTCACGCCCACCTCGCAGTCGAGACACAGACAAGTTCCTGGATGCTCTGAGCGAGCAGTTGGGCCACCGGGTCAATATCGTGGATGATTTTAAGGGAGGAGAGAATGACTATGAGGAGGTTAGTGTCAGACACAGAAAGAGTTTACTATTCATCAGCTAACTTAATGTCGCCAAAATATATGGAAATTATTTATTCTCTTTATTTTTTTGTCCAATGTAGATACAGCTGTTCACGTCTTATTATTTTTGAAATTTTATTAATTTATTTTATTTTATTATTTTATTCTTTTGTTCTATGTAGGTGTAGCTGGTCACATTTCATTTTTTATTTTTTTATTTTTTGAACTATGTAGAGACAGCTGTTCACGTCTTATTATTTTTTTATTGTATTAATTTATTTTATTTTATTATTTAAATCTTTTGTTCTATGTAGGTGTAGCTGGTCACATTTCATATTATTATTTTTTTATTATTTTTTTTTATTATTTAATTTTTTTTTTGTTCTATGTAGGTGTAGCTGGTCACATTTCATATTATTTTATTTTTTATTTTATTTTATTATTTAATTTTTTTTGTTCTATGTAGGTGTAGCTGGTCACATTTCATATTATTTTATTTTTTTATTTTATTTTATTATTTAAATATTTTGTTCTATGTAGGTGTAGCTGGTCACATTTCATATTATTTTATTTTTATTATTATCATTTATTTTGAAATCAAGGCTCCCAATCGCTCCCCGGGCACCGCAGTGAACTATTTAATTTAATTTAATTTTATTTTATAAAATAAATAATAAATAATAATTTATTATTATTATTTAAATCTCTTGTCCTATGTAGGGTCACATTTCATTTTTTATTTTTTTCTATTGTTTTTGGAACAGCATTATATACATTTATGGACCATGTTGTTTTTTAAGCCCTAATTGTCTTTGTGACTCTGCCAGATGAGTTTCCAGGACGAACAGGAGGTGAACATGCCTCATGAGTTAAGCAGTGCCAGCAGTGAAGATAACAGCTGCAGTGATGATTCCACCTCCGTCACCTATTCCTCAGGCTCTGACCACATCCCCCCTCCCCCCCGGAGTCCTCCGCCCCCGCCACCACCTCTCCAGTTCACCGACCCGCCCTCGCCCCTCCCCCTTACCCCAGAGCACTTGCCCCAACCACCTCCAGCCTTCCAGCACCACCCGATAATTGTCCCGCCCCCACCACCACCTCGCCCCTTCCTCACTAACCGCCCCTTGTTACACAAAGTGCTGCCCACCAGTGAGGAGCTCAGGGCTCAGCGCAGCCATGTCCGACACTCCACTCCCCAGCCCGGCGCTCAGTCTGTTCTCAAGCTGCACCAACCAAAGGCTCATCCCATCCTACAATCATCCCCGCACACCTCCCCTCAACCCCCAATTGCAAGCGCACAGCACACTCACCTACGACATCACACCCAGTCCATCTACCAGAGCCAGCAGACCTCTGCTCCCAGAAACTCCCCGAGCCTGACCAAACAAAAGAGCCTCCATTCCCAACATTCCCAGCAAAGCTTTGAAAGCACACTCTCAAGCAAGGTACCCCCACCACCGCCACCTCCTCTACCCCCACCTTGTGATCCACCACCTTTGCCCAAATCCAGTCCAAAAGCCTCTGACAACAACCACATGAGCGTGAAAAGACTGCGCTGGGAGCAGGTGGAGAACTCTGAAGGAACTATCTGGGGACAGGTTGGTAGTGATGCATAACAACCACAGTGCACATCAGAATTGAATGTTTATGATGCATTACTGAGTGGTTATGTCTGTTTGTTAGCTTGGAGATGATCCAGACTATCATAAACTCAGTGACATGGTCAAATACCTGGATCTGGATGTGTACTTCGGCACACAGAGGAATTCCAGTAAGGTTTCTTTTTTTTTTTTTTTTATATCCGGCTCAATGTGATATTGCATGTGCATATCATCATCCCATGTCATGCAGTGCTGTGAAAAAGTGTTTGCCCCGACTGTTTCTTTGTGTTTTTACACTGAATGTCATCAGATCGTCAATCAAAATCTTTGAATGTTTAAAAGTTGTCTTTATGAACAAAAACAACAACAACAAAAAAAATATATTACTGTGAAAGAATACAAAAGTTTTGGGTTGGTAAGAATTTTGAAATATTTTTGAAATAAGACTTTAATGCTCAATAAAAATTTAAAAATAAAAATTTAATATACTTTAAAATGTAATTTATTCCTTTGATGTCAAGGTCAACTCGGGAATCGCTATTTATTATTATAAATTATATTTTAATATAATATCAACATATTATTATCAATGTTGAAAGTGGAAACAGTGATACATTTGATGAATAGAAAGTTCAAAAGAAATTTTTTTTAGAAATATAAATCGTTTGTAACATTATAAATATCTTTACTGTCACTTTTGATCAATTTATAGTATCCTTGCTAAATAAAAGTATTTATTTTAAAAAAAGAAGCAGCCCAAAACCCAAACTTTTAAATGGTTTTGAATGGTAGATATACAGAATCATCATGTATGATGATTTAATAATATAAGAAAAAATTGTACTACCATAATAAAATTCAAATTCAGGAGAAATTCAGAGGTGGGCAAAAACTTTTATAAAGAATGAATATGTAACATCTCATCAGTCTGTATATTGCTGTCTTCATCCACTTTGTAGCTTTTCATTTTGCTGCTAAAAATGAACTCAATTACTTTGTCTATTTTTGTACTTTTCAGCTCATCTCTCATGGAGAGCTATGTCTCTCAGATCCCATCATTCCCATCCAGTTATTGGCATCTCACAGCCTCTTTCCATTCTCATAACCATATATTGTTTCCACTACTGGTGCAAGGAGAGCACATCCTTACATTGTCATTAAATGTGTCAGTCTCTCTTCCAGAGCCCACTTTCCTGCCCGAGAACTTTAAAAAGAAAGACGTGGTTGAGATTCTCTCCCATAAAAAGGCCTACAACGCTTGTGAGTATACGTAGGGTTGTGTTGGAGTGCAATCATCTAGATTGAGCTCTGGGTTGAGTCAGGTTTGATGTCTCGTGTGACGTAAATGTGTAGGAGTAGGTTAAAGAGGTGCTGTAGGTATTTGCTGCTGTAGCAACTGTGTGGACAATTTTCCCATTGAGAAGGTAAAGAATCCATGTCTTATGGGTAACACTTTACTTGAAGGGGTGTGCATAAGACTAACATGACACCTTCATAATCATGACATGACATATGCATGTCTATGACAACTTTCATTAAGTGTCTTTCGCTCAATAATGACATTTTGAATGCAAATATGACATTGTTTGAGATGTCTTTGTCATGACGACTTGACATTACTAAGACGACACAACCCGTCATAAACATGACATAGTAGATTAATTATCAAACTTAAGAAACCACCAAGCTTTATTGGTTAACATTACATTAAACTGTCAGGTGGTTGGTTTTGACATTGGCTGTCATGAAGCCATTCTAACTTTTTAATGACAAATTCAATTAGTACCACTGTAGTTGAGGTCACGAAAAATATTCATGACACAGTTATAATGGCCTCGTGACAGCCAATGTCAAAGCCAAACATGACAGTTTAACTTAATTTTAGTCAAGTTGTCATGACAAAGACTCTGACAGGTTATGATGTATTGGTTTATGTCAAGGTGTCATAAAGACATCTTAAACAATGTCATATTTGCATTCAAAATGAAACTTAATGACAGTTGTCATAAACATGCATAAACCCTAATTCATATTCAAGACAGATGTCATGTCATGGTTATGAAGGTGTCATGTCAGTCTTATGCACACCCCTTCAAGTAAAGTGTTACTGTCTTATTAAAGGCTTAGTTCTCCCAAAAATTATCCCATAATTTACTCACCCTCAAGCCATCCTACAGTAGTTGTAATCTATATGACTTTCTTCTTTCAACCGGACTTATATTAAAAAATGTCTTGTCTCATCTAAGCTTTATAATGGGAGTGAATGGTACCTTCGATTTTGAAGCCCAAAAAAGCGCATCCATTCATAAAAGTAATTAATACGGCTCCAGGGTGTTAATAAAGGCCTTCTGAAGAAAAAAAATCCATATTTACAACTTGACTTATATCACTGGGTCAGAGATCACTCTACACCAGAACTAGACTCACATACAGCCGTGACCAGAAGCCAGTGATTATAGTTTATAAAGTTCTAAATAGGTATATTTTTTTTAACTAAAACACATCACTTCACTTTAGAAGCCCTTCATTAACCTCCCGGAGCCATGTGGAGCACTTTTATTATGGATGTGCTTTTTAGATCTTCAAAAACTCAACCTCTTCTCACTCTCAGTTCGGAAAAACTAGGATATTTTTTTAATGTAACTCCCATTTTTTTTTTGGCTGAAAGAAGAAAGTCATATACACCTAGGATGGCTTGAGGGTAAGTAAATGATGCGATAATTTTCATTTTTGGGTGAACTGACGCTTTAAATATGGCTGCCCTGTTCAGCTATCCTCATAGCACATCTGAAGCTGTCCCCGAAAGAACTGCGGGAAATCCTCGTGACCATGAGCACCGAGCGCCTGGAACCCGCACACATTAAACAACTGCTGCTCTACGCTCCTGATGACGAGGAGGTCAAACAGTTTCAGCATTACGATAAGGACCCCGCCAAGCTCAGTGAGCCCGACCAGTTCGTCCTACAGGTGCTTTTACCTGAAACCAAGGCTGTTTTTCCTGAGTTCTGTAATTAATCTAAATAATAATTGATTCTTATGGGCTTGTTCTACAGATGCTACTAGTTCCCGAGTATAAAACCAGACTCAGGAGTCTTCTTTTTAAGACCACTGTGCAGGAGAAAACTGAAGAAATGAGAGCCGCATACGAATGCATATACAAAGCCTCATTAGAGCTCAAAAACAGCAAGAGGTTGGCCAAGATCCTGGAGGTAAAACACTTATTTCAGCAGATATGCCACTAACAATAAAGTGTTAAATCCTGGATCTTATGCAAAGGAGTTGATGTTTCTGGGCCATTCATTTTTAAACATTTCCTATCTTGATTATAAATATTAACATACCTACAAAATGCACTGTTTTTAGTTTGTTTTAGCAATGGGAAATTATCTCAATAATGGTCAGCCCAAGACGAATAAAACAACAGGATTCAAAATTAATTTTCTTACTGAGGTATGTTTGTCTTATTAAACATTGTTCATAATATAAATACATATATTACATATACATTTCTCCTAATTATGAATTGAAATTTACCCCCCAGCTAAACACAACTAAAACAGTTGATGGAAAGTCGACCTTCCTCCATATTCTTGCCAAATCACTATGCCAACACTTCCCAGAACTCCTCGGCTTCTCCAGGGACCTCATAACAGTGCCATTAGCTGCCAAAGGTAAGCTGACAGTACAATTTCCTTTTATATTTTTGTATATACACTGCTGTTCAAAACTTTGGGGCTGTTAAAATTTGTAAAGGGGACTTATTATGCCTTTTTTCAAAGTCTTGACTTTCAAGAAACCAGTTTGAAATGACTTGGGCGCTGTGGTGCATTATTCTTCTGGAAGTTGGCACTTAAAGGGTTAGTTCACCCAAAAATGAAAATTAAGTCATTAATTACTCACCCCCATGCTGTACCAACCCCGTAAGACCTTCGATCATCTTCGGAACACAAATAAAGATATTTTTGATTGAATCTGAGAGCTGGATCAGTCCTACATAGACTGCCTAAGGGACTGGCTCTTGACGGCCCATAAAGTCATTAAAGAAAATGTTTAAATATTCCATGTGCCTACAGCGGCTCAATTATAAGTTTATCAAGCGACGAGACTACTTTTTGTGCGAAAAAAAAACATAAATAACGACTTTTACCGACTATTCCATTACTTCCTTATGGACGCATGCGCGAGAACTGAGACGAGGACGTTCTCATTCGTCTACTTCTTGTTACCGGCTGCTCACCGCTTAGGAGTATTACCGCCACCTACCGTATAAGATGATGTGCTGATATAGCTGGAAGCGCAAAACTTTCTGTTTACAAGCAAAGGAAGATGCGCGCTGTACATACGCTTTTCAATTTGCGTATTTTCCGCACTCTAAGGTGCACTTAAAAGCCTTTAATCTTCTCAAAAAACGACAGTGCTGTGCGCCTTATAATCCGGAGCGCTTATATATATGGATCATCATCTTATACGGTAGGGGGCGGTAAAACTCCTAAGCGGTGAGCAGCCGGTAACAAGAAGTAGTCGAAGAAGAACGTCCTCGTCTCAGTTCTCGCGCGTGCGCCCATAAGGAAGTAATGGAATAGTCGAATAAAGTCGTTATTTATGTTTTTTTCGCACAAAAAGTAGTCTCGTCGCTTGATAAACTTATAATTGAGCCGCTGTAGGCACATGGAATATTTAAACCTTTTCTTTAATGACTTTATGGGCCGTCAAGAGCTAGTCCCTTAGGCAGTCTATGGAGGAGTGATCCAGCTCTCAGATCGAAGGTCTTACGGGGTTGGAACAGCATGGGGGTGAGTAATTAATGACTTAATTTTCATTTTTAGGTGAACTAACCCTTTAAATTACCTTTCTTCCCTATTATGATACTCAATTTGAACTTCAGCAGAGTGTCTTTCTTGACCATGTCTACATGCCCAAAATACATCAAGTTGCTTTAAATGTTGAAAACAGTTGTGCTGCTTAATATTTCTGTGGAAACCATGGTACATATTTTCAGGATAGAAGAAAATGATTCATTTCTTTACACACACACACACACTTACTGACCCCACATTTTGAATGGTAGTGTATTTTTCTCTTTTGCTGTTGGATCAACCAGAAATGCAAAAATAATATTTGCTAAATGTATTGATGAATGATTGATGTTCACACGTTTGCTGAAATGCAGTAAATCAGAGGACCGTTACTGCTGATCTCAGTGACCTTCACTCCACCATCCAGGACATAAGAACTTCCTGTGTAAAAATCCCAGCTACTTCAGAGGATCGCTTTGCAGCGGTTATGAGTGTATCCACCAATCAATAGCATTTTTATAAGCACATAAGTTATTCTGTGAAAAATATATTATATGTTGCAATGTATCAGCCCTTGACCCTGATATTAGAGCTTCCTGGAAAACTGTCATCCAGCTGTGCAATCCCTAGACTCCTTGCAGCAAAGAGCAATGGATGAGTTTCATAAAGTGGCCTCCTACTTTGGAGAAGACAGTAAGGCCACAAACACAGAAACCTTCTTTGGCATCTTTGCTGAGTTTATCTCCAAATTCGAGGTGAGTTATTTTAAATATTTCTGTGACAGTTTACAATAAGGTCCTATTAGTTATACTGTAGGGCTGGGTATCGAGTTCGATACTTTTTCGGTACGGACCGAAATTGCTTTGAAACCAGGTTACTTACTTTTTTAACTTAAACCAACAATATTTTTAACAGTGTTGGGATATTATTGTAGTACAAAAACAAGAAAAAGGGGTGTAATACCGTGCAGCATGATAAGATCCCAGATGGCCAAAACCGAGTCCCAGCACGGCAAGGAGGTGAAGAGGGTAAGAAACCACTGCATGATGAAATGCAAAGAAGACACCCAAGAGTCTCCTAAAAGCAGACAGTAAACAACACACTCCTGTTAATATCTGAAAGAACAGGTCATATTTCACATCTATCAATTCAAATTTTTTCATTTAAGTAAAACAAGCCTTTTTTGAGTTGCATGAGAGGAAAATGTGATGATTGTCACAATGCAAACTTAATAGTCTTAGTAAGTAAGTAAGTAAAAGTTTATTTATATAGCACCTTTCACAGGTATAGGGCCACAAAGTGCTTTACAACAAAAACAATTAATATCATAAAATACACACAATAAAAAAAAAAAAAAAAAAAAACAGACAGTACATGATCACATCAACCCAGGTAGCTAATTGAAACCCTGAACAAATAAATGTGTCTTAAGTCTGCATTTGAAGACATCAACAGAATCAGAGGAGCGCATAGACAGTGGAAGATCATTCATTAGTAAAGTCTTAAAACGTAACAGTTTGGGAAAAAAAGGCTTCATTATAGCATCTTATAGAAAAGATCATTTCTTTGTCTCTTGATTTGGGATGAAATAAGACTTAATCAATGCAGCACTTACATTTTTAGTGAATAATTACCCATATTTTAGTCTGTTCCTCACACAAAGCTCTTATAAACGTTGGAATACAAGTCAATACAGACAAACTTTTATGCTATTTTTGTGCCCTTTTTGAAGCTTGAAAGCTCTAATCTCCATCCATCATAATGGAATGGAATGGAACTTCATTACAGAGGCCATATTATGCCTTTTACAGTCTTGATTTTGTTTTTGGGGTCAGCTAGGACAGGTTTCCATGCTTGAATGTTCAAAACACACATTATTTTTCACATATTTTATTGTTGGAGCACCTCTCTTCCCAGTCTGACTGTAAATGCCTATTCACACCAAGAACGATAACGATAACTATATAAGCATCCACACCAGTGGATGATATGAACATCTGCATGCGGAGTTTTGTCGTTTTCTTCTTTAAAAGTTCAAGCTCTTTAAAGCAGGATGGATTGGCTGTCTATGTTTTTTATCGTACATCAGCTAGAAAAATAGTTTGGATAATGATTCCGACGATTTTTTTTTAATGAGGAGTATTGTGATGAGTACATTCACAGAAGAAAACTGAAGACTACAATCAAGGACTTTCAGGGAGTTCAGAAACATTGTGATATAGAGAATAACTCCCTTTGAAGTGGACTTTGTGCTTTAAATTTACAAACCTTTTTTCATGCTCAAACAGCAACATTACACACTAAAGAAAATGTAGAAAGCATAAAAGGTCATCTTTAATGTTAGTTACCATATGAGAGTGAACAAATTACAGAATGCTTGATTATAACAATCTACTCTATTTCGTTTTAGGTTTGTCACTGCAATCTGGCCTGCCTGTAAGTTTACAGCATCATCTTTTGTCCTGTGCTGCAGTCTAATAGCTCAGCTTTTCAGACAGCTGTGCTGAGTCAACACACAGAGAGAAGGAAATCCCTTAAGAGTTCTCCAAGCAGCACAAATGCTCTGAGGGGGCGGACAGCCACTATTGTAAAAAAAAAAAAAAAAAAAACACAGAAGAGCTCATTTAAAAGCCTTTGGGAAAAGGTCTATAAGACACAGAGACAAATCTGTGAAGAACACTAAATGAGAGAGGCTTCTCAAGAGAAAGGCTGAGATCTAGAGGACTGAGAGGCTTTGTGTTTATATATATATATATATATATATATATATATACACACACTAAAAACCTGGAATGCAATTTCATTACATACAAATCTAATTAAAATATAGACCAGAATTCTCACCAAGTGCTGGAAGAGCAGAGGTTTCCTGTGTTTCAGGAGCTGGTGAAAAACCAAAGCTTGAAGTTGAATCCTGAAAATTCAAAATTCAAAATTAAAGATTCAAACAAAGTTTAAATTAGGTTTATTTGAAAGAAATTATCGACATGGGCCGAAAAAACAATCAACTTGGCTGATGTGTGATTTCCAAAATTTCAAACAGCTTTGTCAACAGATGATTTTAGTAAATATGGTGCAAATATTGTTTAAATTATAAAGTATATAAAGTAAATATAAAGTAAAGTAGGAACCATTTTATGTGCATGTTTAAAGTTCACACAGTAGAGTTAAGGTCTTACTTCTTCATAGAGGAATCAAAGAGCCCTGAGAGATACTTGGGCTTCTCTAACAGAGCAACCAGAGCCCAGAAAGCGTCTTCTTCAGACAGGATCATTAGGAGCACAGCAGCTATATAGGACATCCCTGAGAAAAACAAACAAACCTTGAGGCATCACATAGTCCCATTATGGCCTCAATGTCAAGGGCGAACTAGCTAAATTATCTCCACGGAAGGAAACCAAATTATGACCATGACATGCAATACCAACAAGATGGCACTTGACTGCCCTCTTGAGACTGAATATCAGTATATTCTGTACTAATATGTTTGAAAGCACCAATAAAGGCACAGGCACAAAGTTCAAAAAGATTGCCAGTGACCTCATTTGTGGAAGTACAGGCAGTTATTTACCTTGTACATATCCAATCTGGGGATTATATCGGGCAAATCCGGTAAGAACTCTGAAAAGTTTGGCCTGGCCCTCAATAGCCTCGGGACGATCCCCATCAGAGTGCGATGGGTCGGAAATGACCTTCCTGTGTAGACAAATATGGAACGGAACTGTCACAACCTTTTAAAAATCTATATACAATGCAAAAGTTATAAAAAGAACACACACAAAGGGCAAATGTTTCAGTTGGGTATTATAGAAGAGTTAGGCTTTTTGTAGCTCAAAAGGTAGAGCATGGTTTCAGAAACTACAAGGATAAGGGTCTGATTCCCAGAAAACAATCAAACTTTGAATGTATACCCTGGTGCACTTTAGGTAAAAGGGCCTGCAAAATGCATTAGTAGAACTGTAAATCTACATAGGAAGTGTGTTTAGGCAGCGCCCCCATGTGGTTTTTCCACATATTGGCAAAGTTCAAACAAAAACATTGCAATCAGGGAACAATTACAGCTTCCTCCTAAAAGTCACAGGACATTTCCCATTTTTTCATCTGAAAATGAGTCAGTAAAAGAGTTTTTAGCTGTTTAGGGTCTGTAAGATTTTTTTTTAATGGTTCAGAAAGTAATATGTTATGCTAACCAAATGTATGTACTAGAAAAAACAGTAAAAACAGTAATGTTGTGAAATGTTATTACAATTTAAAAAACTGTTTTCTATTTGAATACATTTTTAAAATGCAATTTATTCCTGTGATGGCAAAGTTAAATTTTCAGGACCTATTGCTATTTAACGCCATTTATTTGAAATAAAAAAATCTTTTGTAACAACATATTTGTCATTACTGTCACATTTCTATATATGTTGTACATATATGTACATATTGTACATATAATTGCATAATTTAAATTGAATAAAAAAAGCATCTTACATAATCCAAACTTAATATAATTTTTGACAACAAAATTATAAGAAATATTTTTTGAGCAGTAAATCAGCATATTAGAATGGTTTCTGGAGGATCATGTGACACTAAAGACTGGAGTAATGATGCTGAAAATAGCACAGGAATAAATTATATTTTAAAATATATTGACATTGAAAACAGTTATAACAAATTGTAATAATATTTCACATTATTCCAATTTTTTCTGTATTTTTATCAAATAAATGCAGCCTAAGCGACATTCAAAAATAAAAATAAAATATTATAAAATTATATTTTTATATTCATATAAAATTAATAAAATAACAATTTTATATAAAAATATAAAATTGTACAGACCACACTTTTAAATTAATTAATTAATTAAAATAAAAGTAGTCAAATATAGTACTCAACAGTTAAGTGTATGTTATAGAAAAATATCATGCAATTTCAGTGGACATCCAAAGGCAGAACTCACGTAGGTCGAGGGCGATCTGTTTGAAGAGTGTGAGGTCAGCACTGGGGAGATCCGACTGTCCGCTGCTGATCTCATTCTCTGTGTCCACTAGAGAGTCTATAGTGGAGATGATGCTGTACTCACTGACTCCAAGATCCACAAGAGGTCTACGGATCTCAGCCTGACATGCCTGAAGCAGATGGGTTAAAACAAGGCAAATGTCTCTGATTTGTTTGAACAATCATAACAAAATAATATATATTAAAGGGGTTGCACCTCATAATCAAAAGAGCTAGCAGCTCTGAGACTGTCGATATTTAGGAGGCATTTCCAAACTCGTCCACGTATCGCCGGAGGAATACCAATTCGAATAAACCTCTCAATCTGATTTGGGGGGAAAAGGAACGTGCAAATTATTAAACACATTAAAACATTGAGTAAATCATTTGAAATGCAGGGCTGGGTAAAGTTCAGTATAAGGTTAGATTTTTATTGATAAACAGGAATTGGGTTTGGAATAAAAATAAAAAACAACAAAAGAATGTAATTTATTAGTCAATTATTTAGACTAAATATGAATATTCATTCTGATGAGCTCATTAGTTGATTTCTCAAAAGATCAGATTTTAAAGAGTATAATTAAAGATGACGTACATTTTTGTGAATGCCAATTGAAATGCACTCCTGAATGGTGCATTACCCTAAGTACATGTCAAAATATTTCATGTCTTCTAGAGAAAGATGCACACCTGATTTCTGCAGATGAAACTGGATCCATTCCAGTAAGTGAGAAATTCACACAGCTCCTTCACTTTAACTGGATTAGGCTGAGGATAACTGTTGGAAACAGTTAAAGATGCTCCTAATGTTTTACTTGTCGAGTGCAGATCCCAGCATAGTGTTTATTCACGTGAAACTGAATTATATTTCCAGTTATGAAAATGAACTGAAAGCTGAACCAAGTAAAATACATGTATCGAAAACAAAAACCTGGAAGTAACTTAACATTTTATACGTAGTGTTAGCAATACTAGCATGTATGCAACGTTAGTCAACATCTAACCTGTAGTCATGACTTCTGTGTTGGAGTTTCCTGACTCTTTTCTTACTGAAAGCAAAGCCGAACTCATCGAAGCCTACAGAGCTGCTCCGCCGTGAAGTGTTGCTCTTCCCGCTGCTCGAGCTGCTCGCTCTCCTCAACATGGTTCTCGCAGGCAATCAGTTTGATTTGATTTCATTGAGTGAATCCTCTAATCTGTGCCCTGTTCACTCCGACGCTTGAACTCAGCGCCATGATGAACACAATCAAACTACTCTTCAAAATAAAAGTCTGACTCTTGCCAAAAGAAAGTCACTAATAAAATATATATATAAAATAATTTATAAACATAAAAATAAACTTTATTAAACTTGACTTTTATAAAACATTATTTTATAACATATTTATGATAGGAATCTGCTTTCCTCTTGAGTCAGGATTGGTCAACTGGTGAAAGCTCAGAATATGCTTATTCTATATTTCTGAGTCATTTTCATCCCTCTGGTTGGCCGAGGACCCCCAAAAATATAAGCAACATCACACGAGGAGAGTAGCCGTGCGATATGGCTCTAAATCAGCAAGGCTTAGATGTGATTGCGTTTAATGGTATTTTAATTTTTATGAGGGTTGTGTATTCCCTAGTTACCGACAACCACGTTTTTAGGTTTTAACTTTTATATAACTTTTTCGTTTGTTTGAAATATTAATGTTGTTTTTTACATTTAAAACATTTTATTCCTCATATTATCAAAATTCATTAAATGTAATAAAAAAGAAATGCAATGCTTCATCAGAATTTAACCTATTAGTTGAGTCTCTTGGCTCAATTTTTTAATACACCCACAAGTTGATTTATGTGGCTATATGTCTATTTTGTACTCTTGATGGTTTAGATTTTAACCTCATATGCTTTTTTTA